CGCGCTGTGTGTGTGTGTGTGTGTGGTGGGGGGGACGTACGGACCGAATTGGGGGACGAGCCCGCGCACCTGCGCACAGGCTCCGCGAGGTGCGCGCTCTGCTCGGGGACCCGAAAGGGCCCACTCGGGGAGCGCGGAGCCGTGCGTCCGCGAACGGGGTCGGGGGCACGCGAGCGAATACAAAAGGGGGTGTGGGATCTCCACGGCCCTCTGTCTTCCGGGGCGCGCAAGGGGCTTCTGCCCGAGTCCTGGTCACACTCGCTCGCCTGCGCAGCCCCTTGGGAAACGGGCCTGGAATTCCTGTTGGGAGGAGGGAGGGGGGAGGGGAGTCAGCAGGGACTCCAGAGTTGCTGCCATAGGCCGGCCTTTGGCCATCAGCATGGGGCATTCGTGCTGTGACCTTTCCAGTGGAGGAAGTGACCCGCAAACGCAGCTGTGTACTTCCTTGGTGAAGAGGACACATTCATTTATAAATCCAATATCCATTAAGGTCACTCTGCCGGCCGGGTGTGAGGCCTCGGTGGGGGAGGGGGTTGTGGCTGGCGAGGACACAAAGATGACTGCCCTGGAGGAGCTCAGAGCCTTATGCTTCTTTTCTCTCCCCTCCCCGCAGGTAAGGCTGGCCTCTCTGCAATCCGGGGCCTGAGCTCTGCCATGGGGGTAGGGGTGTCTTTACTGCTGCAGTTTTCTCTGACATCTGGGGGCGGCCAGAGTGTGGGCCGAAGCAGGCGCTGCAGTCGCAGGAGTATCCCCAGGAGGAGCTGGAAAAAGCCTCGTCTCCAGCTCCACAGTCTCCAGGGTAGAGTCGGGCCTTCTTTGTTGGATTCCCAGTTCCTCCCAGAGCCCCAGCATTCGGGGGCTCCCCATCCTGGGGAAGGAAGGCGCCCGAGGGGGAAGGATCCCATTCTCGCATCCTGGAGCCTCCCAAGTGCTCAGTCTGGCGGTTGGGAGTGGGTCACATCTGCTCGGGGGCGGAGTGCACACTAGGGAATTTAGGTTGTGCAGGAGCTTGTGGGCAGGCAGTGAGGGTCCCTCAGGGGTCTGACCGCCACCCCACCCCTCAGTGGCTAGAAGGCTGTCCTGCAGGATTCTGGGCTCCCTGGCGCTGTGGAGTTGCCGAATGTGGGGCGGCCCCTGGCGGGGTTGGGGCAGGACTGGACAGGGGACGGAGGTTACGGTCTCTTCTTTCCTCTGCTTCTGATGCCCCGATAATCCTTGCCACCCCGGGGGAGGCAGCGCCAGGGCCCTGGCCCCGAGGGCAGCAGGCTGTGGGTGTCCCTGGATTGTGGGGAGCTTTCGCTCCTGTGATGTCCTAATCGTGCGTGTGTGGGTAGAGGGTTTTAGGCGGGCAGAGCGTGGGCACAGTCTGGACAGGCGGTGGCCCGGCATTGTGCTGGGCTGGGAGTAGCAACCAGCGCCCCCGTCCTGTTCCCGGAAGGGCCGTTCTCGCTCCTTCTCCAGGCTTCTACCCTGAGAGACCGAGGTGAGGAAGGCTGAAAGTGGCTCCTGTGGTGTGATTAGAGCCGGGTGGGTAATAGGAATGAAAGGCTATAGAAATTTCTTTCTGTGAGGTCTTTACAAACCCAGATATTTAAGAGGAAAGAACACTGGCCCGGGGCTTGAGAAGAACCTGTCCCCCTAGTCTCGGTTCTGCCGTTGACTTACTCTGTTCCCTCGGCTAGTCTTGTCACCTTTTATGCCTCACAGCTGCTTCTCTGTCAGGCTGGGAGCTTAATGTTTGCTCGTCCAGCCTCACAGTTGCCGTGAAGCTCAGATGTGGCAACAGGAAATAGGAGCCCTTAAGAGAAGGCAGCAGGGCCGCGCTCGGGAAGGCGTGAAGCACGCAGGGGGCGGCGCTGCGCTTTCTGCTGCTGCAGGAACGTGTGTGCTGCCAACTCTGGCGTGTTTACTTTATGCCAGACGCATGGCCGCCGTCCGCCGCCGTCAGGGGATCCCAAGAAGTGTCAGAAGTCCCTCCCTCTGGTAGTTTCCAGGGTCACTAAAGGCTGATGACAAATATACTTGAAACATTATGTCTAGAAGACCCAGATTAACATCATAAAGCACCTACGAGGAAACGGAAGAGCCTTCCAGATTCAGGGGCTCTCGGAGTCCAGGGGGTGAGGGCAGCCAGGGCGGGACCGGGGCCGGCGACCAGGTCTCTAGAGTGACCGTGCTTTTCTGCCCGCAGCACAGGAAGAGCCGATGCTGGAACGTCGCTGCAGGGGCCCCCTGGCCATGGGCCCGGCCCAGCCCCAACTCCTTTCGGGGCCCTCCCAGGAGTCACCCCAGACCCTGGAGAAGGAGCCCCGCGGGCTGAGGTTACAAGGCACCTCTGTGGCCAAGTCGGGAGGCCAAGCCCCCGGTCGGGTCCATCGCTGTGCCCACTGTCGAAGGCACTTCCCGGGCTGGGTGGCCCTGTGGCTTCACGCCCGACACTGCCAGGCCCGGCTGCCCCTGCCCTGCCCTGAGTGCAGTCGTCGCTTCCGCCACGCCCCCTTCCTGGAGCTGCACTGCCAGGTCCACGCTGCTGCCACCCCAGACCTGGGCTTTGCCTGCCACCTCTGCGGGCAGAGCTTCCGGGGCTGGGTGGCCCTGGTTCTGCATTTGCGGGCCCACTCGGCTGCAAAGCGGCCCATCGCCTGCCCCGAGTGCGAGAGACGCTTCTGGCGACGAAAGCAGCTCCGAGTGCATCTGCGGCGGCGCCATCCCCCTGCCCCCGAGGCCCGGCCCTTCATATGTGGCAACTGTGGCCGGAGCTTTGCCCAGTGGGACCAGCTGGTTGCTCACAAGCGGGTTCACGTTGCCGAGGCCCTGGAGGAGGCAGCAGCCAAGGCTCTGGGGCCACGACCCAGGGGTCGCCCGGCGGTGACAGCCCCCCGGCCCGGCGGGGACGCGGTCGATCGGCCCTTCCAGTGCGCCTGCTGCGGCAAGCGCTTCCGGCACAAGCCCAACCTGATCGCCCACCGCCGCGTGCACACGGGCGAGCGGCCCCACCAGTGCCCCGAGTGCGGGAAGCGCTTCACCAATAAGCCCTACCTGACCTCACACCGGCGCATCCACACCGGCGAGAAGCCCTATCCGTGCACCGAGTGCGGGCGCCGCTTCCGCCACAAACCCAACCTCCTGTCTCACAGCAAGATCCACAAGCGATCCGAAGGGTCTGCGCAGGGCACCCCCGGCTCGCGGAGCCCCCAGCTTCCAGCCGGGCCCCTGGAGCCCTCGGCGGAGCCCACCCCGGAGGCCCGACTGAGACCCGCTCAGGAGCCTGCCCCCGCGCCTCTGCGGGAGGCCCCGGGAGAGGCCCCCCGGGAACAGGCGGAAGCCCCGCCGTCTCTCTACAGCTGCGGGGACTGCGGCAGGAGCTTCCGGCTGGAGCGCTTCCTGCGGGCCCACCAGCGGCAGCACACGGGGGAGCGGCCCTTCACCTGCCCCGAGTGTGGGAAGAACTTTGGCAAGAAGACGCACCTGGTGGCCCACTCCCGCGTCCACTCTGGGGAGCGGCCCTTTGCCTGTGAGGAGTGCGGGCGCCGCTTCTCCCAGGGCAGCCACCTGGCAGCCCACCGGCGCGACCACGCGCCCGAGCGGCCCTTCGTCTGCCCGGACTGCGGCAAGGCTTTCCGCCACAAGCCCTACCTGGCAGCCCACCGGCGCATCCACACCGGCGAGAAGCCCTACGTCTGCCCCGACTGCGGCAAGGCCTTCAGCCAGAAGTCCAACCTGGTGTCCCACCGGCGCATCCACACCGGCGAGCGCCCCTACGCCTGCCCCGACTGCGACCGGAGCTTCAGCCAGAAGTCCAACCTCATCACCCACCGCAAGAGCCACATCCGGGACGGCGCCTTCTGCTGCGCCATCTGTGGCCAGACCTTCGACGACGAGGAGAAGCTCCTGGCCCATCAAAAGAAGCATGATGTCTGAGGCGGCGGCCTGGGCGCGGTTCACACGGAGGGGCACCGCAGGGGGCCTTGGGACCTGTGTTGCTGCAAGGGGTGGGAGAGGCCGGGAATGAGCTGGGCCCTGTTAGAGAGGGAGGTCACCCCGCACGGGCCCGGGAGCCCGGCCTCCAGCTGGCGTTTGCTAAGGTTCTGTCCACATGGTCCTGTGCCCTGCAGAAGCAGCAGTTGCAGCTCCACCCACCATCCACCTGGAGGGGCCCCAGGGGACAGGAAGACCCTTCTTCAGTGGTGTCAACGCCTTAACGTCCCTGTCCTTCATGAATTCCTCTGGCTCGGTGTTGGAGTAGGTGCGGTGCGGTCCTTAGAAGCTTAGGGGGTGGGTGAGCGCTTGGGAGAAGTGGGCGGCAGGTCCGGGGCGCCCGGGAGAACCTGCTGGCCTTCTTGGGGAGCGCTGGGAGCGAAGCTGAGCTGCTCTGACCCATCTCCAGCCCCCCCACGCCAGCCCGCCCTCCTGCCCTTGCACTGGCGCCCACACTTGGAGAGACCCGTCTGCCGTTGGTCTCAGCTCTGATCAGCCCCAGGGCACTCCCCTCCTGCCTGACTCGCTTTGTTCCCACCAGGAGCATCCCCTGGCTGTCGTCTGAGCACCCCGGCCCGCCCTCACTCCTTCCATAACCCCACGTTGCAGAGAGGACTGCCCCCTGGTAACAGCCTCCACCGACGGGAGAAGAGGGGCGTTTCCTTTTCAGCATTTCTAGCACCTGGACACCCAGCCTCTGCGACACTTAGGTGACAGGGAGTCCCCGCCTGCTGAGGCCCTGGTTCTAACGTAGGATAATTCTAATTGTTAGAAGTTCTTCCTTATAATGAATGAAATCTGCTTTCCTATCATTTCTACCTACTGGGCCTTGTTCTGTTCTTTGGAACTAAACAGAACAACCACTTACCCTCCTTTTCAAACTAGAGAATAAAGATTTGGTTTTAGAACTGGTGGCTGAGAAGTGTTCCTTTCTCTGGGGAGCCGCGGCGTCTGAGGGAGTAGGTGTGGTGCAGTCCTTAGAAGCCCCGAGGAAGAGGAGGCTGGGGGATGTGGGCTCTCGGTCACAGGCCAGGTGCCCCGACTTGAGCCCCTCTGTACCCTGCCTCCAGTCCTTCCTTGGGGAAGGCCGGGCACACCCAACAATTAGGGCTACTTCTCTAGGGGTTCAGCCTTTTGTGGGGTCAAGGCAGACTTGTCAGGTACCAGTTAGCAGGGGGAAAGGTCCGATTTGACTCCGTCTGTCCTGCAGTACCTCCCCGGCCGGCCTGCTGCAGTTCCCCGTTTCTGTTATTATGGATGCTTCCCTGCACTGTTGTTTCATACAAATTGGAGCGTCTATGTTTGACAGGTATCAATAGGCCCTTTTCCTACCAGTCTTAGTAATTTCTGTGTAGATCCCTGGCACCTAGCATAGTCTGGTGCATAATAATAGCAGCCACGATTAGTTTATGTAAGTGGCACCTTGCAAAGAAGTTTACCTAAATATCTCACGCAATCCTGTGCAGTAGGTACTCTTCTTTTACAGATGAAAGCATTTGCTCAAGGTCATGTAACATGATCACCAGAGGTCCGTCTGACTCCTGGAACCTGTGCTTTTGACCCCGGCCGTATATTTATTGGGTATGTCGCTGCTTTTAGTGAAGATAAGTATTAAATACCTATTGTGTGCTTGATGTTGGGATGGAAACTGGGAGTTTATACAAAGCTAAGCCCCAATCCTCCCCCCTAGGAGGTGTAGGTCTGGGGTGGACATATATGTGTACACGAATAACGAGTAGAGAGAGGAATGGCGGTGGGTGGGTCTCTAAGTGTGTAGGAAGGAAGCAGACAGCTTCAAAGCTTCATACTGGCTTATGGGGTTATGTGGCCACTTAAAAACCTGTGTAGTTGATGGTAAATTATCTTTTAGAGCCTGGGGGTGTGCTGGCAAGAGAGCCTCACTTAAATATGTCTCCCTAAGGGAGTCAGGGCTTCAAGGGAAGGGAACAGTGCTTTGGGGGGCAAGGGGGAGGATGTCGAACAGGAAAGTAGGTAAATGTCTGAGGGTGATGGGCAGGGAGCAGGAAGTAGGTCCTCAGGCGTCTGGGGTTAGTATTGGGGTTGGGGGAAAAGGATGAGAGGGAATCTTGACCAGCGCTCCTGACTTGATGAAAATCACCTTTTAGGAAATGCCTGGTGTATGGGGAGGGTGGACGTTGTCCTCTCGCGCTATGCTGCCCACTGCTTTTGAGTAGAGATGGTGAAGAGAGGTCCAAAGATCAGGGAAAGCCAGAGAAGTGGCCCTGAGGGGTCTGGTAAGGCAGGGACAGAATGAACTTGCCCATAGTTCTGGAGTCCCTCGGGGGCCTAGTGGGTCCCAAGGCCTGCTCATCATGGCACATACTGACAGCAGTCTCGAAGGAGGAAATTCCTCAGTTGGAGGGATCAGAGCTTGGCTGACAGGAGCCACGCTTCTGAAGAGTGCAAGGTTTTACGTTTATTTTTTTTCTTCTTCTACAATTACAAAAGTATTATCTCATCAAAATTAAACAATGCAGACATACTTAAATTCGTTTTTTAATGTGGAAGTCCTCCGTTTCCCCCATTCCACCCTCCATCGTTTCCCGTGCATTTGCAGACGTGTATGTGTAGCTTACCTGTTTTTTGTTTGTTTGTTTGTTTTCGCTTAATGGAAAAAGGATCTCAGATACGCTTCATTCTTTCTACCCTTGAGATACCTTTGGTTATGAAATGTCAATCTGGAGGAAATCTTTCACTCTGTAGAGAAGGAAACAAGCCTAGGAGGTGGAAATGACTTTACCTCCACGAATGAATCTTTAAAGAGTCGATGGCCTAGTGATACCCGGAGGATTATTTTACAAACACACCTGTAGACAATAGATCCAGTTAGGGTCCTGCAAAAATCCAGTAAGGCAAGTATGTAACTAGAATCTTATCAACTCTTTTATAGATGAATAAGTCAAAATCTAGGGACAGAGTATCTTTTGTAAAAAGTGCACACAAAGTTTGTGGCTGAACTGCTAGAATCTCGCCCAGGGAGGCTAACAGCAGCTGGCCCCATGGCAGATGCTTAGTAGGCAGCTGCTGACTGATTAGTTAGAATAAGATCCACTCGCTGAATGGTAAGGTGTGTAGGAAGTCTGAGAGATGCCAGCTTCTGTTTGTGTCAACCTATGTCCCAAAGGCGGTTTCTAAGCAGCTCAGGAGAGCGTCCTGCCCGGTGGGAGCTGATGTAGCTGGTCCCTGTGAGGTGGCAGTGGGAGGGACGTTACTGACATAAAGGAGCCTTTCCTTCAGTCAGGGCGAGTAGAGGAGGAAGTCTCTGGGAACAGAAGACCCGCCTTGGCCGTCTGGACCCCGCCTCTAAAGCAGCAGTGACACTTGGCCTAGGAAAGTAACCTCCGCATGTCACCGTTTCCTCAAGGAGGAGGCGAGGGGTTGGATTGAATGATGTCTTAGTCTCTCGTAGAGAGAGACCCGGGGTCGTTTATCACGTGCCCTCGACGTGGCGAGCCCCGCGGGTGCGGAGGCGATTTCTCTCCTGTCACACGAGACACGCACATCTCACTCCAACACCGGGTGTGCCGTAGTGCCGAGCACCACCATGTCACGTGCACGCTCGCGTGTGAGCGTCCGAGCGGGGTTCGTGCTCGTTCCCCGGGACCCCGGCACCAAGAGCGGTGCGGGCGCGTCACAGGCGGCGGGCGGAGAGTGGCCGAGCGATTAGATCGATTTCGGAGCGCGCGGGCCCGGACGGGAGAGCCGGGCGGAGGGGAGGAGAGGGAGCGGCGGCCAGCGCGGACACGGGTCACAGCCTGGCCTCGTCCCCGCCCCTCCGTCTCTGAGTCCTCCACCGGGTCCGGTGCCTGGCGGTCAACGCGTTAATACCGCTGGCCCCCCGCCCCCGCCGGACCCCGCGGGAGGCGAGGTCGGCCCGCCCCCCCAGGCCATTGGCTCCAGAGAACAAAGGGGCCGCCCCGCGGGCTCCTCTGATAGGGCCAAGCTGGTCATCTGAGCGGCGCAGCCAATCAGGCGGCGGGGCGGCCCTGGGGATGGCCAAGCTGGCCAGCCAATGGGGGGCGCGTGTGCCCCGGGACTGGCGGGGCTGGGGAGCCCAGTGCCCAAGTCGCCCCGGGGTGGCAGTTCCCGTTAACCTTAGCCACAAAGTCAAAGGTATTTATTCCCGTCCCCTCCCTCCGAGTCCCTCTGAATCCGGGCGGGGTGGGGCGTGCGGAGGGACGGACCGCGCAGTGGAGCCGGTGTCCAGCTCCGCTTCTCCCGCGCTGCCTCCACCCAGCCGCGGGCTGGAGGCGGCCTCAGGGGCCTCGGGGTCCCCTGAGCCCCCCACCCTCCGGCACCGAACTTTCCCCAGCCCCACACAACCCGTGGGGCCAGGGGCCGGGGTCGTGCGTGGGAGGGGCTGCAGGCCAGGTTAGAGAGCAGGAGGGGGCCCTGTGAGAGCGGGAGGAACCGGGTGGTGAGTGGTGTGGGGGGCGGGACTGCCCCCCACCCTCCCCCACGGCCCTCCAGGCGCGCTCTGCTACAGCGCTGTCCCGATGTTCGGGAGTTGTGACAATATCCTCGAAAGATCGAGCCTCTGGAGGGCAGGAACCCCAGTGCTCGCAGCAGAGTGACACATAGTAGGTGCCTAATAAATCATTAAATGAGCGAGGCTAAGGGTTGGGGTGAGAACAATGAGAGGGAAGCACCACAGAAACTGGAAGTGTGTGCCTAGGGGTCTCCCCGAAATTCTTATTGCAGGAAAATGGGCATGGGAGCCAAGATCTCAGTGGGGGTGGCGTAGGGGCTGGGGGCTTCTTCCTCTGTAAAGGTGGAGGGTATGGCGATGCCACCTGCTCCCTGCAGCCTTCTGTTCCCAGAGGGAGCAGGTAGGATGGAGCCTGGAGTGGGTCTTGGTCAGCTAGAGCCAGGTTGGGTGTGGTCAAAGCCGTAGAGGTTGGGGGCAGAATGTGTAGGCTGTTCTTTTTAGGTCCCTGTGTTCATCTGTGAAATGAAGAGATTAGAGAGTACTGGTCTCCCTTCAACTCCGAGCTTCCAAAATTCTGTAATCTGTTTTGGACTTACATTTCTTTTATTTAAATGTTCTTTCATTAAAATTGTTACTCATGGTTTACAGCATGCGGGACCTTGGGCTGGGTGTCGGGGAGAGAAAAACACTCCCTGTGTTAAGATGTTTACAGCCTTGTGTGGAGACAGACTAATTATCGTTATACCATGTGGGTGGTGCTGGGTTGGGTTGGGCGGGTGCACAGGTTAAGCAGAGAAGGGCCCCCAGCTGACCCTGGCATATCCAAAAAGGCTTCCTGGTCACAGTGGTCCCTGATCTGCACTGGGCGGGAAAGAATTGGGCAAGAATATTCCAGGACTGGCCACAGGCGTGCGACAACTAGGCAAGGTCACAGGGCCGCAGAGTGGGACAATGGGGCAGATTGGGGTGCAGTGAGGAGAGGTGAGCAGAGGCCAGGTTCAAAGTGGTCTTGCCAAGAAATTTTTAGCTGAACCTGAAAAGTGTTGAGGATCTACCGAGTATCTTCAGCGAAGTGGTCACGTGTCCAAATGGCAGTTTTAGGAAAATTGCTCAGAGTGGTGGATGGATTGGAAGCACAGTCTCCAGTAGAGCAGGGGTGAGGCCTGAACTGAGGCAGCGAGCGGCAGCAGCAGGAGGCCTGGAGGTATTAAAAAGTAACACTGATAGGACTTAGCGACCTATGGATTGTGAGGGTTCACGCTCTGTGGTAGTGAAAGGTGGTGGCATTTTCAAGGGGCCTGATGAAGACTCGTTGTCTCCCCTGGGAGGCCAGGTAGGCCCAGGGCAAAGGGCAGGGAGTGGCAGAGGTGGTCTGGTCCGTGCACCTGCCCCTGAAGGAAGTTAAGCTGAGGGATCCGAGGTTTCCTGGGGTGAGGCGGCCTGGAGAGAAGGAGGTGGTCAGAGTGGGCGGAAGGAGACCTGACGTCTAACTCTCTGAGGCAGGAGTGTCACCTCTGGGTCTCGCTTGCTTCATCTGACAAGGGGGAAACACTCCCTATTTTCCAAGCTCCTTGAATGCGGCAAAGAGTAGAAAAGTGTTCACAGATTAAAACGTGCTCCCCCGCCTCCGTTCAAAGTGTAGCAGGTAATGGGGGTCCCGGCCCTGGCAGGCTCCTGAGTCCTAGACTTGGGGTGGCAGAATGTGGATGCAGCTCTCTCTTCTAACGAGAGATGGGTGAGCAGAGACTGTGACGGTGACGCCCTGTGTGTGGGACAGGTGTGCGGCAGGGAGGTGGGGGTGGGACATTTCCAGCAAAGATGTGCGTGTCAGGCAGGTAGAGGCAGAAGTCCTGGAAGGAGGTGCCTCAGGGATGGGCGTCGGGTCGAATCGGGACCTCCGGGCAGAGGACAGGCATGAAGAGCTGCTGCCCTGGCTGTCCACAGGCCTGGTTCCTAGGGAAGGCCGGCAGATGGGAACTGAGGTCACTGACCCCGGCTCTTCCTACCAAGCAGCCCTGTGGTACAATCCTACATGGTGGGGAGTGGGGAGGGGATGTGGCAATGGCCGTGACCTAGAAAGAATTCATCTCACCTTGTCAACATTTCTCAGAGTCCTTTCATACTGCGCCCCACCCCCTCATTTGATACAGCAGTTCCGTGCACAGGGGCAAGCATTATTTCCATTTGCAGATGAGGAAACTGAGGCCCAGAGAATGAAAGTGGCTGGCCTGGGGTCACGTGGCTAACTTGGCACTTTCCCCTTCCACACAGTCTTTCTGTGGGAGGATGGCCTGCCCTTCCGCATTGCTCCTCACCTCTGTCCCCTCTCCGAGGACTGAGGACCACAGTGAAGATGCTGGAGTAGGAGATGGTTTATAAGGTTCAGAAAGTATAGTGCTCCCACAGACTTCCTTCACCTGATGCTTGTAACCAACCTGCGGAGCAGGTATTTTCAGTCACTGTCGCCGTTAGGAACCTAGGACTAGAAGGGAAGTGACTTGCCAAGGACAAGTGGGCTAGAACTCGGGGCTCCCAGCCTTCAAGGGGAGACTGGGCTGAGGAGCCTGCCCTGGCGGTGCCCAGGTTCACAGGGATCGGGGTAGGGCCCGCTGCTGCCTTCTGGGCTGGGTGCCCACAGTCCTGTCTGGGGAAGGGCTCCTGCTACGCTGGGCTAGCTGGGCAGAGCCTAATTCTCTTTCTAGGGCTTTCTGTCCCTCCAGCTTCTCCCGAGCCAGCTGCGGCCTTGCTGGCCTCATGCCTCTCCTCTGCCCGGCACAGGTAACCCAGCAAGTGACTGTCCCCATCATACTACCTCTGATTTCTCCTCCAGGCTTCCTGGCTCACTGTGGCTGCTTCGCTTCCATTCTCGCCTTCCTGGGTTTGGTTCCTGGAGCAGAGGGCCAGAGGGGATGGCGTGGCCCTGGGAGGGTAGGTGGGCGTCTCCATCCCCACCAGTGCGCTGGGTTGTTTGTGCTGACGTGGTTCAGTGGGCGTGCTTGAGTCTCTGGATCTTGAGTTGTTCAATTTCTCAATTTCTTTGTACTTTGCGTGCACAACTGTGCAGGTGTTCTCATGTTTGGGTATCTCTGTGCTTTTGCACCTTTGACTTTTGTTTACTGAGCTGTGTTAGCTGGTAGATGTGAATGTCTGGGTGTGTTTGTGTGTGAGTTTCTTCTCATATGCCTATGATGATCTATTTCAAATGAAAGATCCACTGACGCTAATGAAACTTGGTTTCCCAGGCGGAGAACATCGACTCCTCTTGAGAGGCTGATCTATTGTCAGTGAGGAAGCACTGGGGATAGAGGCACCCCCTCTTTAGTCCTGCATTTGTTTCATTCATTCATTCAATATAAACTGAGTCCCTTCTGCATATCAGGGACCAGGCGGGGCAAGGCCTTCCTTCCTGGAGTGTCCGGTCTGCTGCCCGTCGCCCAGCAGAACTTCGTGACATATTCTTCTCTGCTGTCCATTATGGTAGCTCTAGTCACAGGCGGCTGTTGAGCACTCGAAATGTGGCTGTTGTGATTGAGAAATAGATTTTTAATTTAACTTATAGGAATTTAACTGCACGTGGGTTTAGAAAGCAAACTTTAAGTTCTGGGACGTCTCGTACCTTCTCGTGGGAAGCGACGTGGTCGCGGGGCGGGCCGACGCCAGCTGGGTCCTGGCTCCAGCGCTCACTAGCCGTGTGACCCGGAGCAGGCAGCTTAGCTCCTCGGAGCCGTGGTTCTTATGGCGAATGGCTACGAGGGATGGAAAGGTGATGCTTGGCACACAGTCGGTGCGCCGCGGGCGGTGCTGGGTCCCTGTCCCTCCTGCCGTCTTGGCTGACCACCCCCTCTCCTTCCCGTAGCCGTCAACATCGAGGTGATCAGGGGAGCCCCCATCCCCGAGAGCGAGAGCCCTGCACCCCAGGGCACTCTGAGAGCCGCCGCAGGGCTGCCCGCGCCGGCCTGGGCCCGGCCTCGAGCCCCGCTCCCCGGGGCCTGACCTGCCTGAGCGCCCACGGGTGGGTCAGGGCGGCCAGAGCTGCTGAGGGGAGGAGGCGGGGAGGGGGCGAGTGGGGGAGGGCGGGAGGCCGAGTGGGTGGGCGATGCACCAAACACTAGGTGGGTGAACCGGCTGAGGGCTGGGACAGATGTGGTTAATGGGAAGGTGGGGGAGCATGGCAGCCCCACTGGGGTGCAGGAGCAAGGGGCAGCTCAGAGGGGCGTCCGCTGGGTGCGAGGGGGCACCTGGGGGGGACCACCCCTGTGGGGGCAGCGTTGTTGGCGTAAGTGAGCAGCCGCAGACTGAGGCCCTGGGTGCAGGCCTGGGTCGGGGCTCATGGCTGCGCAGGGCCTGGGAGCTGGGCTTTTGGCCAGGGTTTGGGGAGATGCCACCCCTCAAAGCCTCAGCTTTCGGTCGGGGGCGGGTGGCCAGTCCCTGCTCCGCTGGTGACAAAGGACACAGGAGGCACCATCCGCTTCTCCTCTACCTGGGGCCTGAGTCTGTGAGGGGAGATGTGTCTGGCTGGAGGAAAAGTTCAAGGGCCTGAGGCCGGGAGGATGCGGGGAGACCGGACAGGTCCCCTCACTGCCTCTCCGCCGAGGCTTTCTCCTCACCCCAGCTGCTCTCCACCCCCAAGTTTCTGCTAACACCAAAACTCCTTTGTTACCTTCCCCTGCCCCCAGACCTCACCACCTGCCGCAGGCCACAATCCCGGCTTTGTGTGGTCTGGCAGTTGTCATGGCAGCTGCCCCAGCGGAGGCCTTCCGGTTGAGGGGCTCCCATCCCAACCGCAGCCAGACCTGCATGAGGCGGGCAAGGCTCAGAGCCAGGACCTGGGGAGGGGGACGTGTATCCCGGTCTCCACAGAGCTTGCTGGGCCTGGAGGGGAAAGGTCAGTGGAGATTGGGGTCAGGGCCAAGTGGCCTGCGGGGACTGGTGGGGGTGGCAGCTCGGCCTCCGTTGCCTCCTGTTTTTCGGCCGGGGCATTTTGCTGGGCAGCTTACTCACTGGGTTCCTGTGTATCTCTCAGGTCAGCTGACAGATGTGTCAGGTGGGGTGAGGAGGGCGGAAAGGGCACAGCTCGGAGGCGGGGGGATGTGCCTGGTGGCCCGGCTGACCTGGAGAGACCTGGCTGCGAAGAGGGACCTCTCCGTGGTTGGCTGTCTCAGGGTTTGTCGTCAGGTCACCTGCCGGCCTGTGTTCTGGATGGACCGCCTGAGCGAGCACACAGGCGGGGGGGGGGGGGGCATGGCCCACTCCTGTTTTTTTTGGGGTGGGGGCTCTGTCCCCATTCCTGTCCTCTTGTCCTCTCACCTCATTTTCTAGCCCCGCCCTCTCATGTCTGACTTCTCCTCTGGGGAGCCAGGAAGGTCCCCTTCCTTCCATGTCCGCTTCCATCTTACTTGGACCACGAGCCCCGCGAACCTTGCCGTGGCCAGGACAGAAGTTCCCAGGGACGCGGGAGTTAATGCACTGTGAATTAGAGCCTTTCTGCCACCTGAGGCGATTTTTAGGCCCTGCTGCCTCTTGGAAGACAGAATGGATCAAGTAGGACTGACTTGGTTGGGCTCACGGGGCCTCTTGTTGCGTTGGGTTGGGGTTCTGTGAATAAGGCCAAGCCCCGCCCACCCTCCTCACCCTGAACTGTGGCTCCAGCTGCCCGACTGGGTTTCCCAGAGTCGAGGTGGCCTTCCTGTCCTCTCGTCCCCTGAGCGTCTTTAGGCAGACGTTGGCGAGAGGCTTCCCCGAGGCGAAGGATGCAGAGTAACCTTTAGGGGACAGGTGGCACGAAGGCAGGAGCACTGGCATCCACCAGGGCCCCCCAGAGGCCTTTTCCCTTCCTCTTCCCGAGGCCCCCCCGGTTCTCTGCACCACAGCAGGCTTTAGTGTCTCTAGGAAACCACAGGAGGATGCGGAGCAGACTCTTGCTGGGGAAATACAATTAAAAACAAAATCTGCCAACTCAGAAAAGCTCCCCACTGAAGACAGTTTTATTACTGAATAAGCCTCATACCAGAAAGAGACGCACATCGCAGGTAATCCGCTAGGGGGAGGGGCGTCTCTCTCCTTTTCGTACCCGGGAAAATGATTTTTCTATATTTTAGATTCTCCCCTCCCACCTGCCCTCTTGGCAGGGTCTAGATTCCCGGCCTGGGTCCCTGCCCCAGGAGTGGCTGCTGGAAGGGGACCTGGGAGAGGGAAGGGGGGACCCTTAGTATGAGGTCTCTGGGGGGCTCTTGAAGGCCCCGGTTGGGGGCCAAGGTAAGACTGGGTTTCCTGTGATGGGGCTGAGCCGAGGGGCCCGGAAGGAAGCACTGACTGATGCCTGGAAAAACCCCTTGGTCACAGCTTTTGGAGCTGAGCCGACAGCCACAGGTCCTTGCTGGGCCCTTTGGGACTGTGGGGAGAAAGGGGGTACAGGCGTGTGAAACAAGGTCCCCATCCTTAGGAGAGGCAGTCCATGGCACTGGGTGGAGAAAATGCACCCCAGGCCGCCTGCCCACAGCCCCCCTCTGAGTGTGGGTCAGCCGGCAGCGTTTGTGCCCAGCATCCCTGTGAGTGCCCGCTGTGCGGGGCCTCTGTCCCAGGCCCCAGGCACTCTGCAGTGGGCACGAAAAGATGCTGTCCTCGCGATGACAGGGATAAGCAGACAAGTAACTACTACATCAGGGGGCCGAGTGTCACGGAGGAGTGTGCAGTGGCGCTGGGCTGCGATCCGACCCAGAGGAGCCAGGAAAGGCCACTCCGAGGAGGCGGCATCTAGGCCGAGACCTGAAAGAGACGAGGGGGGCCTTGCAGAGGTCTGGAGCGGCACCCCACGCAGGGGGCAGCCAGCGCAAAGCCTGAGGCATCCGAGCAGCGTGACCTGTCCCCAGTAGTGTTCAGGCAATAAGTGAGCCCATCAGGGAATGTCCTGACAACCTGCGTGCTAAACAAAAGATGAGCCCAGATCAGCGGACGGCACCCCAGCTGGGCTGTGTGTGTGCTGGTGCGGAGAGCTCCCCGGGGAGGGGGGTTTTGTACTGGAACATGGATGGGGACCTTGAGAGAGGAGGGGCCGGTGACTTTGGAGGGACTCTGCCTTCCGGGGTGTCTGTACGACCTCTCCCTCCGTAACCTATTTGAGTTTCTGCCGGGGGATGGGGCGTGGGAGGGGAGCCCTTCACATGCTGCTCTATGGGTCCGGTCTGGGGGCTAGTAGGCCTGTGACCTTGCCCAGTGTCCCCATTCGGCCACCTCTGTGACTCCGGGCCTGTCAGCAACCCTCTCTGGCCTTAGTTACCTCTTCATAAAGTAGGAATGGTGCCTGTTTTACCTGCCTAGCAGGTATATGTGCGATTAAAAACACCTGCACGTTTCCACTGAGGCGATGGGTGGAAAAGCTCCTGAAGGAGCGGGGCTGCGTCTGCGAGGTGGCAGGGGGGCCGGGCGCCCCTTTCGTCCTTGTCTCACAGACCGATTCTCTCTGCCTCGCCTCACCCGCAGAGCGCAGGCGGGCAGCGCGTGCCGATGCCTGCGTGGGGCCTCCAGGATGGAGCGTGGCCTGGCTGGTGCCAGCACAGGTAAGAGAGAAGCTGGTCAGGTGCGAGCCAGCCTCAGCCCCCTCCCCAGGCCTGTCCCCCCTGTCCCTCTGCAGCCAGCTGAGGATGAGTTGCTGCCCTCCCTCACCGGTAGCTTAGAGAGAGGGTCGAGTTGCAGGGTGGGACCAGGATGTTGAAGGTCATGTCAAAGAATGGAACAAAACAGACTCTGAGAGCTAAGAAAATGACAAAGCACAGCCTACGACTTGCCATGTGAGGGAACATGCGTGCCCCACCCCCCAGTAGAAATGTGCGGGGTGCGGGGTTGTGGGGGGATTGAGTGGCGAGGTGTTTCAGTGCTGCTGCAGAGTTTATGGTGGTCATGCCGGTCAAACATTGAACACCCGCACTCTGGGTAGGACGAGGGGTTAAAACAAGCCCTGCTGTCCTTGTCATCCTCACCATAACTGGCATCGGTGCTGGGGTCACTCAGAGTTCATGGTCTGCGTCAGCTGACCCACTTAGAGCCCTTTGTGAGGAAATAGCCCGAAGCAGGGCGGGCTGTGTCCTGATGCCACCCCCTTCCCAGTCTGTCCCCCAGCTCCGTGTGGGCTGTCAGTTTGAATTTTTTGTGTGTGCGCGCGCACACGCACGTGTGTGTGTGTGTGTGTGTGTGTGTGTGAGACATTACCATAATTACAGGAAAACCTAGGAGAGTCGGTTCCAAACATTTTGGCCCTTTTTCCCAGGTAAACGCGCAAGGGGAGCGCTAGTTCACATGTGAGCGGGATCGCAGCGCGCGGGCCTGTCCGGACGGCCTCCTCCACTCAGCGGCGGCGTCCACTTACATTTCCTCCAGGTCTTCTCACGGCTCGATGGTCCCTTTCTTTTTATTGCTGAATAGTACTCCCTTGCGTGGTGTGCCGCTGCTCACCCGTCACCCACTGAAGGGCATCTCGGTTGCACCAAGTTCTGACAATTCTGAATAAAGCTGCTGTAAACATCTGTGTGCAGGTTTTTGCATAGACATAAGTTTTTAGCTCCTTTGGGCATATAGCGAGGAGCGTGATTGCTGGATCACACGGTGAGAGTACGTTTAGTTTTGTAAGGAACTGACTAATTGTCTTCCAAAGTGGCTGCACCGTGTTGCGTCCCTCGCCAGCATTTTTTTGTCATCAGTGTTTGGGATTTTAGCCATTCTAGTAGGTGGTGGTAGTATTTTAGCTGTTAGTGTAGAGGCCAACATCTCCCTTTCTCATTTTTAGAATTTTCTGGGCGATTTGTGCCAATGGTAAATTTTATAATTTACTTAATTAGGGTTGCACTGAATTTAAGCATCGTTTTGGCGTGAAGGGCTTCTTCTCATCTAGGAATATGACGTATTTGTCCTTTATTTACATTTTCTTGATCACTTCTATAAAGTTTTAGAGTTTTCTTCATATAAGCTTTACACATATATTAGGTTTATTCCCAGTTAGCTTTTATTGCCATTTTTTTAAGTTACAAATCGTTCTATGTTTTTCTATCTGGCGATCTTGTTGAAACTCTTTCATCGCTAATACTTTGTCAGTGGGTCGTCTCGTACATTCTAGGTGATAGTTTTCCTTTCATCTCTCTCTATATATTTCTTTTTTCCCTGTATGCTTTGGCTAATTCCTCAAGGACAATGTTGAAGAATGGCATCGCCAGTGAGCATCCTCGTCTTGTCCCTGACTTGAATGGACTTCTAATCTTTTGCCTTTGGTTATAACATTTGCCACAGTTTCTAGCATAGCTCCTTTGTCAACCTAAGAAAGTCTCCTGATGCTCCTACTTTACTAAGAGCTTCCCCCTTTCCCTTCCTCCTCCTCCCTCCTTCCCTTCTTCCTTCTCTCCCTCCAGAAATGCTGTTGAATCTTGTCATATGACTTTCCGCACCTGTGGAGATGGTATAAGGTTTTCCACTTTTGTTTTTTTTCCTTCGCCTGCAGCCCCTGGTCTATCCTAGGTGGTCTCCCATCCAAGTACTGACCAGGCCCGACCCTGCTTAGCTTCCGCGATCAGACGAGATCGGGCATGTTCAGGGTGGCGTGGCCGTAGTGGTTTTCCACTTTTTAAAACTCACTGTCACGGATTCTCCTGAGCCATTTCTGCAAGGTCCTGCTGTGCTGTTCTTTTAATACTGCTGGACCTGCTTTGCCGATGGTCTTGTGTTTGTTCTTGGAGTCTAGCAGAGAACCATAAAGCTATAATTTCCTGCCCGCCCCACCCTTGTCTTGTTTTGATCTTGGATTATGGTAGCTTGTAGGCTCCGTCCCTCCCTCTCCTCTTAGTCACTGTCACTGTTTATGAAAGCTGGGAATAATCCTTCCCTTGAAGTTTTAGTAGAACCTGTTTATACAGGTGAGGGGCCCGTGTCTCCTTTTCAAGGTAGAACTTGAGCTTTCTTTTCGGCCTCTTCTAGTTGACTATATAGATATGTTTTTACCCGTTCTTGAGTCAGTTTTATTCATTTATATTTGTTTCACAAAATCATCCATTTTATGTAGATTTTCAAACTGCCATACCATATTTTAGGAATCCTTTTCATATCTATATGTTCCCTTTATCCTATAAGCTCAACTTCTATCTTTTAATTGCTTCCTGCTTCCTTTGGGCCGATTCTGTTGTTAAACATTGGAACCCGTCGTCCAGAACCTCTTTGTTCACAACTGTTTCATTTCACCTACTTTTTATTGACTCTAAACTTCTTATTGAAGTGTGACACATAGAAAAATGTGTAGGTCGCAATCCTTATAAATTCTTATGACCATGCTCATGTAAGCAGCAGCATGCACACTGCCAGGACCCCGGCAGTCCCCTCTTCCAGTCACAGTGCCCTGTATAAGGGGACCATTATCCTGCCTTCTGCCTCCTCGATTAGTTTTGCCGGCTTTGAACTTCATATAAATGGAATCATCGTCTGTGTTTAGTGTCTGTAGCAGACCTTTTCCATCAAGCCGATGTCCATCACCTAGGGCAGCGGTCCCCAGCCTTTCTGGCACCTGGGACCGGAGCTCCTGTGAGAATCTAATGCCTTATGATCTGAGGCGGAGCTGAGGCGGTGATGCTGGCGCTGGGGAGCGGCTGCACATACAGATGAAGCTTCGCCCACTGCCAGCCGCTCACCACCTGCTGTGCGGCCCGGTTCCTAACAGGCCACGGACCGGTACCTACTGACCTAGAGGGACAAAGCGCCCCCGCAGACCTGAGCAGCCGTGTGCAGGACTCTCAGAAGTAAAGGGTACTAGGTTTAGTACAAGGCGACACCTGTTCTGGATGCCAAGACCTTTCTGGCCGACTTTCTTGTTCTTGGTTCTGTTGAAGAAAGGTGAGGTTGCTGAACAGCTGAGGTCCAAGCAGGTGAGGGG